ACATGTAGCAGTAATTTATCGTGAATCAAATGCTTCGCCGTAACTAGACTCCAAACAGAAGCACATTTTTCAGGTCGCTTTGAACAAGTGACATTCTTATCGCTCGAGATGTTAATGTGCAGGACATGGAACCGCCAGTTTCAAGGCTGGTTACAAACGCAATTTCCAGCTACCAGCACAATCACATAACCTCCCTTACCCAAATTTTGAACTGATTTCGTGTTCACCGACGAAGAACTCATGGTCGACGGAGTAGTTACAATCGCACCATTTGGCCGCAGTGATCATGCCTAACTACTGTTTGACTATATTACCTTGTGTACTCTCCAAAGAGGAGGGCGCTACAACGTAGTATTCACATTGGTTAAGATTATATCCCAGAAGTCGTCTGAGAACGTTTAGCACACTGGTAACCCACGCATGGGAACAGAAATCCTTCCATCGTCAAATTAAGAACAAGTCATTCCTGAGGAGCAGTACACGTAAATATATGTCTCTGAGGATTCGGCATAGCGAGCTCACAAGAACTGCTCGAATGCCGAAACCTGGACTGCATACGTGGCACAGCGTAACTTCTGTGAAAATGATCCGCGAGGACGAGGTGGCGCATCTACAAGAGTTAATGAAACGATACTGCGCGAACTGCAAACTACTATACAGGCACGTTAATGGCCTTCATAAGGCAAAGCGTGGAATCTCAGCATTGGTCACGGCTGACGGATGCACGCGGCCAGCAGCCGATCTCCTAAGGCTTCATTACTCAGTTACACTCCAAAATTTAATGAGCCCAAATATGTTTCCCGGTTCTATTACTCCGACGTAAGGTTTATCAAGCATCACTCTCACTGCAGAAGCTGTGTTGATGAAGTTGTTATCCCTGCATGCCCACAGTTCTCCTGGAGTCGGTAATATTCGACCGCAGGCTTCGCAGAGAGCAGCCAAAGATCTAGGAAAATCACTGGACGTTTTCTATCAGCGCTATCTAGAGAAGGACCAAATACCATCATTATGGATGAGGGGTCATCATTGTTATTCGTAAGGGAGGTAGCCGCACTGATCAAACCAATTACTGTCAGATAACGCTGCTTCATGTGTTTCCAAAGTTTATGGAAATCAGTCAGCGCCAGTAAATGGAAAAGTACAACTTCATAACCCCGGGCAACATGGCTTCCGCAAAAAGTACTCACATACTACTAACATAGTAACTGCACGCGATAGCTGGACCGAAGCAGATGATGGTTGAGTAGGGAGACGATATCATTTACCTGAACTTCTGAAAAGCGTCTGATCGCTTCGGCCATTGAAATCTCTTACCCAAGCTTCAGAAATTCAGCACTGACGACCCAAAGCTGGGTTGGGTAAGCAAATTGCTACAGGAACCTCGGTTGGAGGGGATCTGTCCGATGCAGTTAATGTGGAGCGCGGTGCCAGGACCTCGACTATGCTTAGTTTTCAGTAATGATTTAGCAAAATCAATGGACTCCTTTTTCTTATTCTTCACAGATGACCCTAAGAAATGGCAAGCAATCAGAAGACCGGACGACCATGAAGGGACCAGTGCGACTTTAACACGACTTCGAACTGATCAGTTCAGAATGTCCTAACATTCAACGTAGACAAACGTCGCGCTGTACAACTACGCCATAAACATTACTATACGTATTGGCTTGGAGCACAAATAATGCAGACGAGCTTCCTGGAATGTGACATTGGTGTGCTCATTCAAAATGAGCTCGAATATACAAGTGTGAGGCAGCTGCGAAAACGCAACCAGCACGTCGAACTGTTGCGAAGAGTGTTCAGATGTGACCCATTAATCTTCCCAATGACGCACAGTTCGCACTTGCGTCCTCAGGTCGAATACACCATTCAAGCTTGGCAACCATGTTTGACTCACGACCTAGAGGCATTTGAGGTACCACAACGTAGGGCAACAAAGAATACCAAGGGCCTACGCAATCACCATTACAAATGAAGCCTGAAGTTGCTGGGAGTTTTCAGCGGACGCTACCGAAGGCTGCGAGTCGATCTCACATTTGTGTACCAAATACTGGGTGACCCTAACCAGGTATGCTGCCATTTGTTGAAATTTAGCCACAACACCAAGCCGAGTTAAATGTTTAAACTTGAGTGAACAGTACGGCCGTCCAGAATGTCGACGGAATTGTTCTTTTACGGGTTTTCCATCCTTGGAACCCTCTCCCAAACTGTTGTATCTTCCCCTACTTTACAAAAACGACTGGATGTTACCCTTAGCTCCAAACGCTTCGTTAATTAAAGTGCACTAACATGGATTACGTTAATTAGACCCTTCCACCTGATTTATGTGTCATATGGACCCAAGGGGGCGGCACAGGAGTGAGCGACCATTTAACACTTTTCTCACCTTTAACCTCAACGATCAATACATCCTGTGTCCTTCCGTATGTTTGTATTCCATTTGTATTTTACACCAATGTTATTTATCAACGCATTGAACTCGGTAGACGACTCACACAATTTTTGATCCTATAGCATTTATCCCAGCAATCCTACGGAACTTGTTAGCCACCTGCATTTTCACCCATGATAAATCATTGTTCAATTACTGGATGAGTTTACTCCATTGCGCCTTATAGTATCCCAGTCCCTCTCCATGACTGGGTCGAAGAATTGCTCGAGCGATAAGGAGGTGCAAGAACTAGTTGAATAGTTTCAAGAGTACAGGGTGTTGAAATTAACTACAGAAGATGTCTGTTTTCAACAGCGAAGCATTGCTGAATCTGAGTTGGCTTATAATGCAATGGTAAAACCGAAGATGTATTCCCGCATAACATGAGTGAGCGAAGAAATTCCTCTGAAGTGCCATGAGTAATCTTTCCCTGTGCCTCTGGTCTGCAGTGGGGGAAATTCGGTCACCCAGGAAAAAGTTTAAATGTGGCTTCATATGCAGTGAATGCATCTTTCCTTGTCACAAACACCGTTCACACAACAGAATTTGCTTCCTTTTTCGTAATAATGCAGTACCCAAGACTACACCGAAATTCGTTCCTAATGTGTCTCAATGAGACAGCCAGGGGGCAAGAAAAGCGCACATTCAGCAGAAGCATCATGCACACTGGGGCTGATTTAATGTACGAGTTTAATAACAGGTGACTATCTAAAGACAAACATCGGTGATGTTACGGCGTCACATTTCGACATATATTACCATTATCGGTTAGCCAAACCATGACAGGGAGTATTGCTCTCAATCACGACTGCTTGGATTCTGCGAATTAGATAGGATGAAAATCAGGAGAGACTAAACGATGCCACCATCAGAAGTCCGTCATGAGTACCTTCCACAGAAATGTTTTCATTCGCGACAGAGCGAGGCACGCTTTTATAGGCATGGTCATGGTAATACCAACGCGAAAGGTAGATAATTGTACAGGTGTTACAAGTGGACCAGTTGCAAACTGGATTTATGTTCGTGTGTGTAGATGAAAGTACGTAGTCATGTTGAGTGAAGTAGTTAGTGTAAAGCTGCATGTGTGATCGCCAGTGCAAAAAGGCATCACACAGGATATAGTTTCATCAAAAGAAATTGGGATGTAACCAACCCGTTTCAGGTCCCATGGCTGACAGGAAAGGAAGCGAGATAATAAGGTCCTTTGAGAGTAAAAATTCCTAGAGCTAGACCTCAGTGAGAGAGTAAACAAGATCTTCAGCAGGAGAAGAATATCCGGGCCACCGTAGCAAGATAGCTCCAAGGAGATGAAAAGCTTCTTTCGTCCTGTAAAAGTTTGTTGTCCCCAAACATCAGTGTAACGCGAGTGATGTGAGGTAGTTGACATTGTGTCATTACAGAATGAACAGAAGTATCTATTGAAAGGATTGCAAATAACCGTGACATCTTCAACTGAAGTAAAGCGAGACAGAGCAATAGATGTGGTGCAGCCATTTCGGAACCCGCCCCTTTGTTTAAGTGGCTCGACGAAGTTCCTATGTTTGCTGGGACTTGAGAGACAGTGTAGTAACGAGCTGGGAATTTCTCCGTACGTCTGTCGTATTGTGTTAAATAGTAGAAAAGTATAATTTCATTCGAGACTGCGCCCTTCAACTCGTAGTCACTGCAGAATGGCACATATGCTGTTCAGTTGATGTAGTGTGGTAAAATCAGAAGTTTTCTTGTAAGCATACATCAATCGGATGACTTTCCATTTTGTAGTGGTGAAAGTTATACTGTTTATCGTATTTCCTTGATGTGTTTCGCTTTACATGAGCAAAGAGGTTTGGCCGCCGTTTAACATTCGGATGGAAGGTTTTAACTGTTTAAATTCCGGGTCACATGCAAGAGGTAATTAATCCAACTGGTTAGATCTTATCAATGACGCGAACGGTTCGCAAACGATATGACCGATAAAACGTACCGTGAAAATTGATCTTTATCTCTATTGCGGTTAAGCTGAATGCTACCACTCGATAACATTAAAAATAATGGCACTTCCAATGGATAGGTCAAATACAATAATAACGTCTGTGACACTGCCCATTCTCCCTCGTAGACAAAAGATGCATAAAATGACCGTGGGTGGATTCTGGATATGAAATCAAGTAGCTTTGGTTGGTTCAAGGGTAACGAAAGTCTTCTGGCCATTCTACGGGAATTGTCAAGCGTGAGCCTTTCATCTGTAACACAATGTTGATAAATAGCCGTAACGCCTTCCATGACCAACACATCGGCAAAGATAACTCAAAAAGGTTTATTGATACACAAGTTAAAATCAGGTACAAAAGTACAGATGTATCAAAAGTAATGCCAACAGTTGTGGTGGCAGTCAAATGCAAACAGAAGGCGTTTTCTACAATGGGCTGTCGGCATATTCTTGGGGTCCATATCTCTTCGTCTGCCAATGTATCTACAAAGAGCCAATTGCACGCAAACGCCGCCTGTGTTCATTCACACACTGGGAGACCACACTACTGGCCCCAGCAGCGTTCCAATCACGCCTCATGTATTGCAGGCCATCGCCACACTATGAGGTGACTTGTACCTGATTCTCCTGCTTTAACTCCATTTGTGCAACTGTGTTATCATTCGAAGTTGAGTGCTCAACTTCTACAAAAAAGCAGAAAGCAATTATAAATGCGAGAAAAGTTTGTCAAGAAATTGTAATAAGCACTACAACAATAACAATGTGTATTTTCGATTGCAATGTGCGTTTGGCCTTTGCACCTAAAGCTGAGTTGAAAAAGTAAACATCTCGCGAATCAACGTGATTCTGGGTCGTGAGAAGAATAAAACAAGAAGCTACCAAAAGCAGTATGACTGAGGAAACCGAAGCCACGTGATACCATCCACGATGGTACAACGCAAGCTGCAAAAATGAACTAAAACCATCAGTTTTAAACACTAACTTGAATGAACAGATTTGAGATGTTGTTGCATGTTACACTTCTGTGAAAACGATTTCCCGCACTGTTCACATGTATAGGGGCGCTCAGCTGAAATGGGGAACAGAAAGCGTATAGTCACATATGAACCCCAAGGGCGAGAACATGGCTACAGAACAGAGGATTTGTTAGAATAGGGGCACACACGTAATAGTGTAGGAAGACCCTAGGTATACTAGAGTAGTTTCCATGAAAACTAAAGGTTGTTGGTGCGTGATCATCTTAAAACTGGAAACGTATCATATCACTCACCAACACACGTTAGCTGAGGGTAAGCAACATATCTCACCTAATGTGACGCAATACAAGACGAAACGGAGGGCTAATGGATAGAGTGCGAATCGCCTACACTGTTTCATTCCTATAGTATGCATCGGACAATGTGCCTTATATTTTGCTACAATCTTACTGTGTTGAGATCGTAAGCATGAGATGTACGTCAATGGGACACACTGCTAATTAGTGGAAAATGTGACTATCTCAGACAGATGGCTACGTCCAATGAGATAAATATCCGAACTCGATCCATTTGCGTCTCGTCGGTCACGTTGTTCAGCTGCCCAACGATTTACCACCTCAAATACATCTCCTTCCGTGATGAACTACTTACACTTCCGAGTGAATACACACAATGCGTTTGCCACTTCCCCATCGGCACCCGAGTTATCGTGTTCTCAGCGCCAACAAACGCATCTTAATGAGTTACTTCCCACGAACCCTGCGTGCTGCGTAAAAAGAATGGTGACTCCATCCTCTGTGAACCTTTCAAAAAAACCTTTGTGAATCCTGGAAAAGCGATTTGGCTCCCTGGGGGGGGGGGTACAAAGAATTTCCGGGGGGCCCGGTAAGAGAAAATTTTTAGTGAGGCTAAAGGGGGTCGTGCTGTGAAAAATGTGTTGTGAGTACACAACCAAGAAAGCTCATTACAAAATTTTCTGATAGTTTTTCTCCCTGCACTAATCTCCCCTGGTCAATACCACTCAGTGAAAGGAATTGTACGTGCGCAAGTAGCTGTTTACGAAGGTGTGAAAGCCATCCCGAGCAAACTTTATGTGGAGAATGTGGCCTAGCTTCGCGAAACTTGCGCAGATTTCGCCGAGCACATCTCATATATACAATCACCATCCGGTGACTCAGGGAGCGCAAGTAAAAGCCGAGCTGTCCCCAAGACTTTCATGCCTAGCCACAGTGAATCCATCGAATTCTCCTCAGTACACAGGGGCAGTTAGTGCACAAAGCATCCTGTTTTTCTCAGGACACTGGGTGACAAATTATGTGCCGGCCAGCCTTTCTCTTACGTTGGGTCTCAGAGTGCTGTAATGCCAGGTTACGAGTTTTTCATCTCCAGTCTCAGTCTGCATGTACGTCTGGCGGCTAGATCACGTTAGCATGCAGCGCTCCGAATTCCAATGGCTGCTCAGCGCGTGTGCGGTGCCATCTTCAAAGAACGTTCATCCATTCCGACTAAGAATCGAAAAAACTAAGACGCGTTATATCTCTTCCTCAACATCCAGTTCAGCTGAATTTTGAAAATAGCGAGCAGTTCTGTCAACTTACATCACACGTGTGGACATCTGGCTTCTATGGTGAGTACATATAGCATAAAGTGTACATATGTCTCACATTACTCATATTAATCAAATGCCCTGCCAACACGCTGTGGGCGTCAAGTTTGGCAAAAGCCGGTGTACGTTATCAGTTTCATGGTTGACTCTTCCATGCCGGTTTGTCGAACAATCCGGTAATATCTTCCACGTTTGTTTCTTCTGTCCTTCATTGTATCTGTCCTCACTGTTTTCTCCAGCTTCACTGTAACGAGCATGTGTACACTGGGCATTATCACCTTCTTAGCTCTAATTGTTTTCTCGTTTCATTTGCTTTCTTCAAGATGTTTTCAGTTCATGCAGCTATCCACGGTACTTTCGAAATAACCCACGGAAACCATTTTTGGGTTGTCTCTAAGTGTTTCCACATTTTTATATTGTGGTCACCAATTGATATCACAAGCATGCTTACCAAATGTCTCATAACATTGCTATCAAGCAAAAATAAATTTAGTGCTGCCAATCTGTGTTTCACCTTGTCGAATGATATTACTCAATACCCATGATATAATTACGTAAGATAAAGTAAACAGTGACAATGTTATGGTATAGCACATCCTAATATTTTACATTGGCATTTCAGAAGCGAGCTCCTCGGAAAAGAAGAAGTGTCGGCAGTACTCTGTGGAATATCAGTCATTTGAATTTGTCGCATTACCTCAAAACTAGAGCAATCTTTCAAATGGGAGCAGGTGACTAAGTAAACTGACAAATCATTTGGTATGTGTTCATAAGCACGAAAGCGGATAGTCTGCGCATTTTAAAAAAAGGTGCGGTATAGGTTAGAAAAAGGACCATCTTTGAAGAAAATGATTCTTGAGAGGGCAAAAAATAGCGTCTTGTAAAATCAGCAAAGTCGAATGATAATAATGTTGAAATATTAGGTTGTCTTCAATATCAATAATACTGTCTGATTTGATGACTTCAAGTGCCTCAGCAATTCATCTTTGACTTGTCGTTCTTGCTCCTCTCCTAATGGTCTCAACATTGTCCTGGTCGATTGCATGCCCCAAGAGTAGCGCATGTACCGATACCGCCGAATCTTTCCGTAAGGCCTTGCATTCAGGCTCATTTTTTGGTGGACACGAAACGTACCTTTTGTGTTCTGCTATCCTATTGCCTGGGTGCAAGTGCGCACCGTCCGTGCCACTAAGTTTTTAGACGCAATTGGTTGTCTTATGTTTTGAAAGTGGATTCTTCAAACGTTAAACCTAACCATTATTTTATCTGACTCAATGGTCAAACTTGCCAGCTTTCGTGCGACGTCTTAAGAGTTCTTTATGAACGTATCTGTTTTCCCTGTTAGGGACTTCAACAAACCTGCCAGATTTCTGGCTAGTTCGTGGGTCGGAGAACCGATGATATCCACAATGGGCAGAATGGGGACGTTCGGATTATGTGTCCTCGATAATCTGTGGATCCTTGAACGCAGGGTTGATTGTGGATATATATTATACCATTTACCCGACTCCAGGCAGTCCTTTACACTTCTCGGGTAATTGCTAACCTCCGTTTTATTCGTATTCATGACCGAAGAAACCGTTTTTTTCTCAATCCATCTGTAAGACCCAGTCGTTAAATGCTCGTCCATTTTCCAACACAATCCGACTTATTCATCATCACCATGGTCTTACCTTTCACGGGCACAGTGTTTATGGGCATGACGCCATCCGTCGACAAACATGACTCGTATCGTGATAAAGAGCATAAGCATGTAGGACTTGCATTGTGATTAAATTCAGGCTAAAAGTGCCATAAGTAAGAAACGCTACACAAAAATGACGAATACGGCGGGAGAAAATCCGCCAACATTCAAACCGGATATATCACGCCATTAACTTCAGCTGGAGCACGTTAGACTGATATTGTTACTAAGTTTCGAAAAATAGTGAACAAACTGTGATGGGGGGTTGTCAACAGGAGGCTGATCAATGATATCACCGTGTCGACGGTTGCAACTTCCACTGTTCAATCCCACGCTTTCAGGTAAATTTGGCATAGCTGATGGAACAAGCTCATGCTAAATGTAATTACTCTTCGCGGTGGGATCACAATTAGGAGATCGTGTGGTGACTTTCTAACCCAATAAATACACCCACTACACAATAAGCATGAAATTAAGCTTCCACCTGAATTTCCGGGCTGGCTTGACGAACTACCTCCTCGTAGTGCCAGCTGGGTGGTTCGGGTGTACCCCGTTCCAGCAAAGTGTTCGGCGACAGTGTTCCACTTCGGTGGGACATTGTATTCCAGCAGGTGTGCTGACTTCATGGGGAGTATCGGGCCCCCGTTTGGTAATCTACCAGGCAAAGATGCATGAACTGAACATTCAGTCAACGCCTCCCAATGAGCGCGATTCCCTAAATTCGCCCCGCTGCCTTGCGGGTAGGTTATTTAGCCAAAGACTCCGGGTGGAGTCCCCTAAGTCAACTCCCTACTTCGGCTTGGACAACCGGGTAGTATCACGCCCTCTCGCAAAACCATGGACTGTATTACAACGTGCTCCTCAGCTACTGTCACTGCTAGTCACTTTCACGCGACTTCATCACACGCCAACTGTTTGTTTGTTAACAATCTTCACTTTCCGTTACCCGATTTTGTGTTCAACAATCTGGCTGCGATTCCGGTTGCGCTGCAGACCGAGGAGTTCAACCTATGGTTCTCCTTCGCCTCCGATCCTCGTTCCGTCTGGCGTGCTTCAACGTTCGGACACTCATGCAGATTGCATAGCAAGCCGGTCTAGCGCGCACCCTAGAGTCCCTCGAAACTGATGTCTGCTGCCTTTCAGAAACCAGATTACAAGATCCCAACACTGTGCTTACATTGACATCACCAAGTGACTACGAACCCAGATATCACCTGCGTCTTTCTGAGATCCAGAAGCAGCCTCAGCGGGTTTGGCTGGTGTAGGTGTAGCACTAAGTGGCAAGGCGGAGGGCGCACTACTGGACTGGTTCCCGATTAACAGCCGACTATGTGCAGTTCGGCTTCGGGGTTCATGCAGAAAAAACAAGCACCGTGAAGAGAAACGCAACTTGTTTGTGATCCCGGTGTACGCTCCAAATGACTGCAGTGGCGGCTCGATCAAGGACGAATTCTACCGGGATCTATAACCGCTCTTGACTAATGCTAAAAAGTTGGATGTCGTTATTCTTGCTGGGGATATCAATGCACAGGTTGGCCGAGTATTACCATACGAACGCCCCCTTAGTATTCATCACGCGCTCGATGAGAACCGCTCTGATAAAGGTGAGAAGCTTCTCACATCATGCGAAGACAACCGTCTGTTTCTTTCGAGCAATAACTTCAGGCGTACGAAGAATCTTTCCGCAACGCACCGTCCCCCTTCACCAACACAACCGTGGTCTCAAATTGATCACCGCAAGTAGCTTCAGATAACGAGGCAGCGTACTGGACGGCAGGTCGTTTTGATCCACCTTCGTTGACTCAGATCAAGCTCCGGTCTGCGCGAAAATCTGTATGCATTTTGGAGGGTCCCGAAACACGAAGCACCGCAAGATTGATGTGAACAGATTAACTGATTCCTGTCCAGGCGAGCTATCAGTCTTCAATGGCATATGCACTCAGGTGCAATCCGCCGCAACAAGTGGGACAACACTGGACTTGTATACGGAAAGCGATGACCATTTCCAGACAGTCATGTTGCGGCCTAACTCGACGCCCCCTGAAGGCTTGGATCTCTGTTCATTCTCTAAGGCTGTTCGAACGACGCAAAGATATCCCCCCGGAATCACATCGTAACAAGCGGCGTCGTTTTGCCAACCGGCTGCTCAAGCAACGTCTACGCAAGGTCCGCGAGGCATGGTGGTCTGAGCGTGCTTTAGAGATGGAGACCGCTGACCCCTCTGGCAACACTCGCAGGCTTTTCCAACTCATTCGGTCCACTGGCCTCAGGAAGTCTGGTGTCTGTGAAGTCATTTGCGAAATGGATATCTCCGATCACCAAATAATAGAGCCGCATGGGTCGCTGGGCCGAGCGCTTAGATTCACAGTTCAACTGGCCTCCACCATCCATCAGTACATGCGGTACATCTTATTGTCCACCCTGGCTGGTCCAACTGAATCCACCCAGCGAAGCGGAATTCGACGCTTCAAGCGGCTTAGACGGACTTCCTCCGGAGCTGTTCAGATAGGATGGCATGGTGATCATTAACCAGCTGACCGCGCTGTTCGCAAAAATCTGGCATGAAGAGAAAGTGCCTTCCTCTTGGGGCGAATCAAATATTGTCCCCATTGTCAAGAAAGGCGCTCGCACTTCATGTGCAAATCATCGCGGAATTAGTCTCACTTCGGTTGCCTCCAAGCTACTGGCATCCATTCTGCTTCGAATATTACCCCCAGTACGTGAATCACACTACCCTGAAGATCAAGCTGGTTTCCGTCCCGGCCGCGGATGCGTGGATCAAATTTTCAAGCTCTGCCAACTCCTCGAACATCGCCACATTTATCACACGTCTACTATCGTTGCATCCTCAGACATCCGTGCCGCTTTTGACTTCGTTGATCCACCTGATTTATGGCGTTGCTTGCTAAAGAACGGGGTGCCGGAGAAATATACCGCCATCTTACGAGCACTTTACCTTCATACATCCGGCAGAGTGAGGGTCTATGGCAACTTTTCCTCGCAATTTGTCTTTAATAGCGTTGTGCGACAGCGCTGCCATATGTCCCCATTCCTCTTCAACTCCGCAATCTAAGACGTTCTGTCAAAAGATCTAGAAGGTTTCCAACACTTTGGCCTAGAGCTTCTACCGGATGAGCGCGCGACCGACTTAGATTATGCTGATGATATCGCCTTACTTGGTGACGATCCTCAGGGTATGCAACTCATTCTGGGTCGTTTGGCGGTTGAAGCATCTGAGTATGGCATGAGCTCCCCCCCCATCGAAGTGTAAAGTACTGCTCAAGGATTGGCTTTCACCTGCTCCTGTGCTCACTCTCGAAGGTGCACAACATGAACAGGTAGATAGTTTCGTCTACCTTGGGACCTGTGTTTCTGCTGACGGCACTATCGACAAAGAAGTTTCTCTTTGTATCGCTAAAGCTCGATCAGCATTTGTCAATCTGAGGCACGTGTGGCGTCGTCGCGACTTCTAATTCTTGCTGAAGGACCGCGTTTACGGCGCATCAGTTCGCTCAGTATTGTTGTTTGGAAGCGAGTCCTGGCCGAGTAGCGTGGAAGACATGCGTCGTCTTTCTGCCTTCGGTAACGGTTGCTTAAGGAGGATTGCTCGTGTCTGGTGGCAACATCGAGTTAATAGTAATGACGTTCGACGTCGCATCGTGGGGAATGCGAGTATTCCCTTCAACAAACTGGTTTCGCTGAGATCACTAGATCACGTCCTACGCATGGCACCTGAGCCTCTACCACGTCGTGCTCTATTGGCTTTTCAAGAAGCTGGCTGGAGGCGACTGCGTGGTGGTCAGCCTTCCACTTGGAGACAGTACAGGAAATCGCTGAAGTCGTGCCTAGCCGCTGTTGGATCTGTACGTCTTCCAGGATGGGGAGCCAAAGATGAGGAGCGCCAACTGCTTAACACTCTTGAAGACATGGCCCGCAACCGGATTCAGTGAAAAAATTGTGGACAGTATTGTATTGATTTACATGTTTAATACTACAAACATGGAAAATGACAAAAAGCAGAAAAATCGGTGTGTGTGGAAAATAAACTAAAAATGTTTTGTTCTACCTTTTGTCAAAATGTTCCATTCTCCCTGTGGCACATTAGCTGAAGTGTGTTGCTCACCTACAACTACCATGCCAAGATGATTATGACGCGATGACGGTCCCTTATCCGCTGATCTCTATGGTTTTATGTTGGCTCCGTGTCTAGTTGATAGACTGCTGAGATTACTAGTACTAGTGCTAATGACGTGCGCTGCTCGGGACTTCATGAACAAGGCTGCCGTTGCTTCATCCCACATTCAGGATGGAATTTCTGCCAGGTGACCGACTGACAAACCAGGGAAATGTAGACGATATGAGTCCCCTCGGATTTAACGCAGTGGCATGTGCGTTTTATCTTCAAAGTGCAAAGTACTGTTGCAAGAGCAGACAGATACACCACCGGTTCTGATAGTCACCGAAAAGTCACCGAGTCGTGGATCGGTTCACCTTCCATGACAATTGTATCTCTTCTTGTGGTCACAACATAGATTCATTTGTGTTTCGTCGAAGCCATTTATGGAGAGGGTCTGACACTAGCAGGTGTCACTGTGTGTGTATGTGGATCAGACATCTGGACAGTTTGCACTAAAAGCATGCAGCGACTGGCCGCGTTTGACAAACACTGCTCGCGGAAAATTGCTCACAGTTGGTGGGAACACCGGATGAGCAATGCTGAGATACGTCAGTTGTTTTTTGTCAAAAAGTCCTCTGGTGCCTCGCCGGAGTGTCTGGTGGAATTGAATTGCTTATGTTGGCTAGATCATGTTCTCCGTACACACAGTGACTGCCTATCTCGGCGTGTAAAATGCGCTGGCGCCGCACCCCGTTAGCAGCGAATTTGAGGTGTCCAGTTGATGACGTGGCGTTAGGGCACGAATAAATCAACCGAGAGACAGTCAGATTGCTGCGTGTCGTCCTCGTGGAGCCGGCCTCCGGATAATCCATATCAGTGGTGTCACTGTGGCACAGTCGGTGATCCTCCTGCATTAGGCTTCTAAAATCTAATTGGCAACATTACAACCACATCAGCTTTACGCGTTTCTCTTACTTCTACATCCTGGTATTAAATTACCAGTACAACTCGAAAACACCGCACAACACGACGCGTTTCGAGCTTATTCGATTTCATCAGTTGGACACAGCAGGCTTCGAACCAGGGATCATTAGAAGGCCAGCCGTGATCTTTACCTCTGGCGACTGGGTCACGACGGGTAACGCTTAGCACAACCGGAAACGGATGCCACGAACCATATAAATGATTTGATTCGCAGGTTGTATTTCAGGTATCAAGTTGAAGAGAAAATGGTTCCGAGCAGTAAGAGTAACAAAACGAAGAGCTGTTGTTGTCGGTAGGGTTAATTGGAAAGAAAGCAAACGATATTAACGAAGATGGTATAACGAAAGGGATATAAATCAAGGGCAACTCGCATTATTAAGTGCATACTCACTCGAATGAATAGTCCTGAGGTGATTTTGCATAACGGACTTTCGAGAAAACGAGCTGCCACAATGTTCACACATAAAGGGTCGTTGCTCTGCAACAGGGAACAGAAAGATATCAGTCACAAGTGAATCGCACAAAGAAAGCTGACAAATAATAGCGAATGATTTATTAGGATGGGTGCATCTAATTGCAATGTAACAGACTTAATGATGGCCACGAAATGCAAGGATTCGTCGTGCGAAACAATGGCTTAGTGTTCGAGGATCACGTGATAAGGGAAAGACGAGATACAAAGTGCGAGGAGTCCGTCGGCGATTACGACAGCATAGTAACAGTAGGTATCAAACAAGATATCCAATATTCCTGTTCGGACATGTCATGCAAAGGGCGCAAAGTAAAGTGATCCACTGGAAAGACATGGATACTCATGAACCAACGCAAGCAGCGCAGTTGTAATCAGAAGTGGACCACGTGTGATATCTATGGAAGTCACCGAGTACATTCGAAATGGTATGTACCGCATAAATTCAATATATAATCATTCAATAAGCGATCAAATACCACTACATGGCGGCCGAAAGATAAGCGGACAGATGAGCTACACAGGTTGTTCCTAAGGAAAAAGCAACTATCGGTCGTTATCGGATGTTTGCAGAACTCTGTTCAGAAATTCTACGACAGTTCCATCGAGGCTGTCCTTCTTCGGCATGATGAAAATGAGTACGCGAAGTTTCCTTTATTGGCTAAACATCGACGTAAGGCTCTAACAGTTGGTGAAGACATGTCTAAGATGAGCGCCTGTCAATAAATCACTTCGGAAAACAGAATTATCTCGTTGGCCATCGGCGACGAAGCACTGGGGACGCATATATGTGGAATTTTCGATCCTATGAACAGGCAACAATTCCTCATTGTTTTGGAAACTTTCAGTAAACTGCCGGTGGTGAAACCAGGAAAGTGGTGAGGTCTTTTCAAGCAGCATGCAATACCGGACACACCGGTCACGGACATTGGTTCGCCCTTTACCTCCTTCCAGTTTGACGAGTACTGCGCGCACCTCGGTATTAGACAGTTGCGTTCACCCCCGACCAACCCCAGTCCAACGGACAAGTGCGACATTTTGTTGATATGTTCAGGCAGACGCTATTAAAAAAGATGGGAGGAGGGGACTACAAAAGAGATACTGGATATTTTCAAACGTATGTACAAACCAGCCCCAACCTCTCAGGTGCTAAACAACGTGTCACCCGAGGAGACTCACATGGGAAAGGAAATGCGAATTGTTAACTCGTTGCTGCTGCCGATGAGTAATGTTCCTCAGGAAAAAGATGTGAATTACAATAAACGAAAAAGAACCCGAGAAAGTCTGATTTACTCAAGAGAGGTCTTGGTAAGAGATTATGGAACGCGTAAGCCAGTATAGAAAACAGGCTCGATTCAGTGCGGGATAGGAAAAGTGATCTACAAAATCAAAGTAGATGATCTAATCTGGATCAGACGCTAATCAGTTGAGATCTACTAGTATCCGTGAGAGTACAAATAACCGATCCCTACCACTTGATCTTCTCTGGAGAAGCTTCGACATACACAAGAGAACTCCGGGCATGTCTGACGAAGAGTGCGCAGCAGTCTCAGGAGGAAAAAATTTTCAAGCAAGGCGTCGTACCGATCGGATCCGGAGGCCAACCAAAAGTTTACCGGTAAACACACACGAAAGTCCTTAAAATAACCACTTCATTTTTGGGAAGAAAGGTGTACAGTTAAAAACGGAACGCATGGTGACTAAATGCCCATGAAGTGTAACTCGGTTGGTGTCAGGAGAACTGTGGGTCATAGAACCATGGTAGTTTATAAATCAAATAGCGTTATGAGAGGACTACTTTCAAGGCTGAAAGGAAAATCAGTCAGAGTGATGTTATCTACAAGATAAACTGAAAAGAATGTGACAAACATTATATCGCACAAACCAAAAACTTTCAACACGGATCAAAGAACAAAAAATGATCATACGGAGACATGACCCACATTATTTTCATGCATGAAGGCCAGGAAAGAGACCACTTCAACTTAGAGAGCGTAGAAATCTTGTCCGCAGAAGTTCGAGCAGTTAGAGAATTCTTGGAAGCATGGTATTCTGTAGAAATTTCAATCAACCGACGCGCTGAACTAGATGCAATAAATGTAGCACTACGGATGAAAGATCACCGACTTAGTCAACTAAACCTAACGGAACAGTAGACCGGAGAAACACGTCAAAGGAAAACGTCAAGTGCTGGTAGGTATAATGAGCAGCTTGGGCAAACACAATAAAACTCCGGATGTGTCTGACAAGTATGCAGTAGTCTCAGTAGAAAGGAATTTACAATTAAGAAGCTACCTTGACTGCATCCGGCAGCCAGCTACAAGTTTACAGATAAACACACACATTCTTAGAATTAACACTTCCTTTTTGCGGAAGGAAGGTATAGAGTCGAAAACGGAACGCAGAGTGTTAAAATGCCCATGAAGTGAGATTCGGTTGGGGTCAGGAGAACTACTTGGATATTTGATAACTGTGTTCAGAAAGCCAGTGTGTTAGTTCACAACAAGTTTCATATTTTGTGTCAAAAAGATCCGTGCCTGAGTTAGCAGTGATGGAGGCAAAGGAAGTGTTTACGAAAGCCAAGAAGATCAGAGAGGATACATATATAATGTGACTGGATCGAAGGAATATATATCACTTAGAGGTATCGGAGCGAGTCCCGTATAGCTTCTACTCAGTCGCTGAACAAAAACACTAGTACCGACCGCTACTACAGTCCAAGATAGCGCCGATCGATGTTCTCAACGATCGACTACGGAAAGGAATGGTAACGCAAAAGAAGTACCATGATCGCGAATCTAAAAGCCTTCCAGTACTACGGGAGAAGAGGTATGGGCGCAGCCAGTATTGAAATCCGAAGGAAGCTGGCGGAAGGGAGTGATCAAATGCTGTAAGGCAGAGAGGAGCTAGAAAGTCGAGGATAAAAGCAACACCATTCGACGGAATCGGGTGCAACTAAGAAGAATGCATCACGAGAGGACGCGGCAAGGAGAGGATGGGCAACAACAACCAGAGAGGAGTCCTGCTATCCAAGCCCAAGATAGTAAGCGCACACGCAGTGGAAGACAGTATGGAATGCATAGCAAGGTTATTCTAAAAAGCGAAAATATAACGGACATGATGGTGCCTGAAACCGATTGTGAATGGAGACGGTATCATGCTAGCGGGCAGATGGCCAATCAAACGCAACGTAGCATTCCGCGGAGTACGGAACAGATGCAAGTTAGCCCGAAGCAAAGTAAGCATGTCATCGGAAGCGAACTGATCAGTCGAGCAGCGAGTGGTTTGTACACGCTCACGTCGAGATCTGCGAGGACAGACGGTCAACTGAACAAAAATCTACTGAATGAGCAGGTGAGTAATCAGGCACCAGTAAGTCCCAAACATCAATTAAGTCGGGCGGAAGAGCGCGTACCCGTGAAGCGGATTAGTTTGCCGGACACAAATAGTCTGTACACACATGCGTCAGGGGTTGCTGTAACACCGGACCAAGGGGCGCGCGTAACCAGACGGATGAATGACCAAGCGAGCCAATGGTACAATCCACTCAGAAAGCCAGCAACGCGGTTCGAAGTTTATCAGAATGTTGCGAACAAGCGAAAATCAATGGGGATGGAGCCAGCGATGTAAGGCAAATAACAAGGTTGATCCAGTGAAAAGGAGTCACGTATCAAGCATCATCAACAATGGTAGTACCTCAACCATTTGAACTGATGCCATACAATCATGATGACCTATGGAAGAAAATAATAAGACGGAAAGAACGGGACTTACTTTAAAACCTTACTGCCCTAAGCGAACATCCAGGGTCAAGGCGCATACCCCTTGTTTAGACAAAGATAAGGCAGCATCGGCTAGATAGCTTCCTTGTGGCTTTTACTGCCACGCGTCATGATCAGTCATTACCTCGCAGGTAACTCAGCTCTAAACACAGTTTAAACAGGCAGTTTGACTAGGAGATGGCAGCAGAAGCGACACTGATGTCGACTGCGAGGCATGTCCTGCAAAATCTCGATCCACGCACAAGGTGGGTTACCTGAACTCCAACCCGGAGGGCGATACGAATCAACGGCACCCAGTATGGTCGACAGCGACTTCATTTCACGCTGCTAAGTCAGACTCTGTCCACCTTGATCATTGCGCCACCCTACACCTGGCGGACTAAACAAGGCCCTCCTAGTTAAGCGGTAACCTGGCGTACGTAACAGGTGCCTAAGCAAACGCAACTTATTCAGTGCTAGCTGTTGTTCTAACGTGCTAGCAGGATTAACAATACCTAATACTCATCTACGCACATCATCATTGCGGACACGCTGGTGCCATCTAACACCAGTAATGCTTCTCAGATCATCAGACCGAAGGGGTCAAGTCTCACTTCCAAAGAGCAGGACGGCCCTCACTGTGGCCTTGTATACACAGCCTTTCAAGCATAGGGAAACACCTTCCAGTCGCCAAAGACGTCGCAGGTTCAAGAACGCAGCTCTGGCCTTTGCAATGCGTGAGCTTACTTTAGTTTCTATGCACCCATCGTTGCTGATGCAGCTGCCAAGATAAGTGAATTGATCAACCACCTCGAGTTCCTCGTTAGCAAGCGCCAAGGGGTCAACAAATGGCTGGTGGTCCTGCAGCAACACCTTGCACTTTGAAGGTGCGAAGTGCATACCAAATAATGGGACCACTCTGGATAGGCTATTCAGGGTTGATTGTGCCGCCTCAAAATTGTCGAAAAGCAAGACGATATCGTCCGCATAATCGAGATCAACTAACCTTTCACCAGGCAGCACTTCAACACCTACATCGTGAGATTCCGCAAGGGAACACTCCATGATAGAATCCACGACGAAATTGAACAAAAACGGGGAAATCGGGCAACCCTGTCGAACGCCACTTGTAGTCGAAAAGCTATCCGATAGGGCACCATAGACCCTGACGCGGCCTGTAGTGTTCGAGTATAGAGCACGAAGGATGTTCATATATTTCGTGGGAACACCTTTCCGCGCAAGTATTTCGGACAGAATCGATCGATCAACTGAATCGAACGCACTCTTGAAATCGAGGAACACAGCTATTGTCGGTCTGCGGTATACGTAGCGCTTCTCTAGCACCTGAAGCAGCATGAACATATGGTCTATACAGCCACGTCGTGAGCTGAAACCTGCCTGCTCTTCCCTAATCCGAGATTCCCGTTCTACAGTGAGGCGACAAACGAGAACCGAGGCCAGTAATTTTGTCACAACTGGCGTTAGGCTAATACCCCTGTGGTTAAAACAGTCTGTGCGACTACCCTTCTTGTGTATTGCCACTATAATCGATTCACTCCAGTTAGCCGGGACACTTCCTTCCAGATATGTCCGAATAAGGAGGTCAGTGCTTTGCAGAGGACCAAACCTCCATCCTTAAATAGCGCAGATGAAAAGAAATCCGGGCCAGAGGCACGAAAACGACTAAGGACTGTGATCGTGTTTCGGACTTCGGCCTCCGACGGAGGCTATAAACTAACCGTCAATGCGCAATCTTAATGGATAATTTCATGATCGCGGCCTAATATTCACGACTTAGGGAGGGCCACTCGATACTGTGTAAAGGAATTTTCATGCTAAACTTATCCAGAAGCACAGTGTGTCATACGAAGAAAGTGATCTGTCACAGACCCAAATTTATTTCCATGCCAGTGGTATAGCGGTAACAGACTAATAGTCGCAACCGCGTAGCAACTACAAAACCGCATACGCACGTCTACGAAACAAAATAAATGACATAACATCTAGTCTTCACCCGCAGAAGCCAGTCTTTTGAGAACAAAATATATATCCAACGAAGACGAATCAATGAAACAGCCATCATACGCTGCAGTTAGAAGCCAGTACACGAATTAATATTCCCCAGTCGCATCCATAAGCAAAGACATTATCACTGTGTATTAGGGCAAACATTTTACATCAACTTGGTGCTGTTAGATAAATAGGATTGAGATGGAGATCAGATTATATCCAAACGAGGTAAACAAACCAAGTGAATTGCACCCAGAGTTAAGCATATGGCTGGCATCCCAATGGCTGCTTGGTTCGTCTCTGTGACCAAATATAATGATTCCAAATGGCTAATCAAGGCACGCACCGACGACTGTTTTCCTCACACCAGCTGTTCACACAACGCCTCTTTCAGCTTCAGTGAAATGAGAGATAAGTGACTCCAAGGTTTTTCAGTCTGAATCCTCAACGAGGCAATCGGATCGCCAGAGTTAACAAACACAGGCGAACAATGCAAGCATAATCTGCCGCTGTGAAAAGCTATGAAGCGGTTGGTTAAAGTCCAATGGACATCCGAAGGCGAAACTATGGGAGGGTAGAAAGTGAAAACCGCTTGAGAAGTGGATAAAACGGAGTCTGGAGAGCCTTCGCCGTAAACGACAAGTCATGTTGAAAAGATAACCGTAGCTCAGCGCAGCTACAATGGGCTGCCCGCCTGGTTTGCAACCATAAAATCCAGGGTTCGAATCCGCGTAGGGGTGAGCGTCCTCGTGGTATACTCAGCCCGCGCGCGACTGGTGGTGGTTGCGCGGTAGTGAAACGCCGTTACGGCGTACAGCTGACGCATTGCTTTTTGCCAGATGATTAATGAAGCCAGGCATTACATTCCAAGATCGAGCCACTCTGCATCTAACTGGACTGCGAAGAGACTCACTCTTTGCAAACATGATAGTGGATAGATCAGTCGGTCCGCTACTTTGATTTCGTATCAGTAGTATGCAAAGGTGTCTTACGTCAAGAGTGTACTCACGGTCCAGGCTCAGTCGTCTCTGGTTTTATGGTTTCGGAAAGCAATGAAAATTCGTGTTTGCATTCATTGATACTCCAAAATGATCTGCGTAAATATGTGCATACAGAAACAGCATCTTCATCTGGTTTTTAACGCTGCAAAGCCACACGTTGGTAAGCAATGAAGAGTAGACAGTACAGAATCGAAATCAAGCAGCCTGTGATGCGTTGCTTAACAGCGAAAATGACTGATAGAGCATGCAGAAGTCATGCACATGAGAAAATCGTGCATTGCATCCGCTTTAAAGATTTTCCAAGATCTACAATTGGATATTTTGCCGCTACGGTATCACCACAGGTTGCAAACCAACGATGCATTCAACATTCTACTCACTTAGATGAACAGACCTTTCGTGCACCCGAAGACAAGTCACTCGAGAAAACGCTTTCCCACAGTGCTTGCACTTGTGAGGTCTCTCATCTGGAACGGAAAACAAGAACTTTACAGCCAGAAACAAGAAAAAGCCAACGCAGTAGAAGAAACGTAAGCTGTTGCCACAAATACATCCTTCAATTGGACAAACAATAATAAATACGATAGGAAAGGTCACGCCTTAATTGTACAACAGAGGTTCTCTTCGAAATATTCGACCAGACTACGTAATAGTAAAGAGGTGATCGGAAACCATTACACTACGCACTTTCACACCAATCACGACACGCTATTCCACACACACCCAACACATTGCCAACAAACGTTAGAACTACTCATTCACGTTGATATGTTCATTCTACGCCGCGGAGTTCGACTTCACGTTGCGAAGGCAGGGCGACCTGCTTATAAAAAAGTGCTGACTACGCATTGATTAGAATGAAGTCACACCTGAAAAGCTAACAACGTATTTTCCGGTGTCAATTTCATTTGGGGAATCAGGTTAAACAATACCAAAGGGAAACTCCAGTAAAGTGAAACGCCAAAAACTCTTGGGACTTTGGTGAATCCTAGCATGTCGATGGTGTAAAACAGTAGGTCCCTTTCAGCCATTTCGTCAAAGTACTGGGAAGACACGCTGGGATACATCAACATTTCAACTGTTCTCTTCAGTCCCAAACACAATACAAACAGAACACGTACACAGTTATGCACATGGAACAATAAGCAACACTAATTAAAACGTGAATTAGGACCAAGATAAACTAACTGACTGAATGTAGTGGCATGCGCGCGCCAAGTTCACTTGCATCCATGCACTCAATATATTACCCACTTGACGTTTGGAACATGCATTCCCATGAGCATATCTAGTTTAGCTCATTGAGCTTAATACTGTTCACAAGTCATAAGCAAAGTGACTTGGTAACGGTACAGCGCCGAATGCGTAAAATTACACTGGAATCATGAGGAGAGCCAGTGAACGTTCCTCTTAGTGCAAATCTGAACCAAGTGAATCAGATACAACAATGTCAAATGAACAGAACTCTGTAGGTATTTGACAAATACTAGCATGTTGACAAAAGGTGGTGCGGTATACATTGTGTCGCGTAGGGTACGTTTATGGTTTAATAATACGATGAGGTCGATTGTGAGCACTTGATGATGATCACACGTCGGTCATCACTGTGCCAATTCGCCGAGGGACCGGCTTTCTGCGATGACTACAACTTTTGAGAGGCAAGGTGTACGGATTGCACTAGATCTAGACTACGACCGGATCATGCGCTGGACAGACGGTAGGTCTACGGAAATTTAGCAACCCACTGTCACCGTGTTGGTCAGTGATGTGACAGTTGCCCATAACCACCTGGAACAGAACCGGTGGTAGATCAACGGTCTAAGCAGGAATCATCCGTGCACCACGACTTCTGGTGCATGCAGAAATGTGACTATTCCGTAAGACAACAAAAGTGGAGCGGCATCTATTCCATCGAGGTTATCGCTGTGTTCATCTCATGTTCAAGGTGTAAACCACTATGAAGGACAAGCAACTACAGCCCAAAATGGCTGACGTATTCCAAGATATAGGTGACTGCATCACAAAATCGGTTAGCATGCCTGTGACTTTTCAAGGATTGCAACGCGCTAGGGTTTAGGCGTGCTAACAAGGAGAAAAAGTATAACGCAGTGATGTGGCCAAGTTCATTGCATGGACCAGAGATGACTCCAGTGGCTGTACCAAGCAGCTTATACCTAGAAGCAGCATCAGCTAAGCAGTACTGGTGCATCGTCACAAGATATCGAATGTCGAACTGGAGTATAAGATGGACATGAATCTCTTACGATGTCTAGGTCTTTATCTTAGCAAAAAGCTGATTTGGCATACAGTGTTTACCGATGCTCAACCCAATGACCAGTCAGTACCGCGGTAAACGTAAATGTGCTACCTGGACTAAAATACTGCTCATTTGTATGCACGTATACGCGAACTCTCATACAGATGTCTAGTGAGCCATGAGCGAGGCCACTCGGGACCACTACAGAAGCGACGACGGGTCCTGCAGAGAACGTAGGCAGAACCGGCGCAGCGCTTATAGGCACGCCGCATTCGATTTACTAACCGCGTGCTTGCATGCTAAGTCTCTTTATTTCAGGTGGTGGGTTTTCAATTTTGCCTTAATGCTTTTCTTTCTCATATAAATGTCTACCTGTACTCTATTCCATTAACTTGCACACCTCGCTTAAGCCAATTGTACTCGATTTCCATAGCATTTTTGTGTTCGTGCATTTCCGTAAAGTATACTTTCTGACCTCGTGGACTTACCTAGGATTCGTGTGTAAACAACTTATTTTATATGCTCATTAACTTAAGGTTTATGTCACCGTTTCCTTACGCATTAATCGAGTTATTTTCTTTGTATCTCTCTCTCAAGTGATCGACTGTTGTTTGATATCCCCGGTGTGGCTGCGCTTGATGTGCATGTTGACAAGGTGCCTACCTGTCTAGTACCCACTACCTCGTCCATACTGGCTCCAGGAGACAGTTTGTCATTGCTGGAGAGAACGGGGTGCACAGTCCTTGTGGCCGTGTTAGGATCAAAGAGTGGTTCCATGCAGTCAGTGTGGAGCGGACTACGGTCCAGCCACCGCATTGTGTGCGCTTGATTCCCAAATACAGCGTGCTTGTGTTTGCATGTGAAGGAGTGGGGGCCGGCTCCGTTGATGAAACGTGGTTCCCATCCACATGCCTCCCGGTCTTATTCCTTCGGGTTTACACTGGATATGGGGTATGTGGTAGGAGCTGTGGGTGGTGCAGCGCAAGCCACCCATGGTCCCTCTGTAGGCGCAGGCGTCCTGTGGCTTGTCACAGTGACAGGCAAATCCGGAATCGGATGCCGCCAACCATACGTGAACTGTGATAAAACAGCTCTTGTGAGGGTGCAGACACGCATTACGAAGCACGTAGTAGGATACTTAACCCCTATGATTTACCAAAGCAAGACAGTCCACGGCCGGCTGAAGCATATGGTGGCGACATTCGGACACATCGTTGAGTCACTGCTGCTAAGTTTGTACCGTAGACTGATGTTCTAGGCGCTTACTCGGGGTGAGCGCTAGGTGGGATTTGGCTTACACCCTTCTAACTTACATCCAGGACACACAATCCCGCGTGAGTAGATTCACTGACTCATGGTGCAAGGCCCGCCGCTTTGCGAAAGTCCGTTTCATCGGAGGCTTTGGCTGAGTCTTTCGCCAGTTAAGGCGTGGACGTCTTGGAAGCACATCAGTCTAAGCACTAAATATGAAGCGCGCCAATGTAGAAAATCCTGTGCTGCATCGTCCGTCGTGCAGTGGCATTAGGAAAAAGGTCGGCTTATCTGCTGCATACACCGGGGCAGGTAAGCAAAACATGCTACCGCTGATGCCTTGCTTCTTTCTTCTTCCTCTGCGCACAGTCTTCCCGTTCCCATTTCACCTAACCCCTTAATACCTCCAATCCAAATGACCACACGAGCGATTCCTAGATGCCATCGTATGCTCTACCGGAATACGAGTAAGCATTCCGAGCGACACAGTGCACTGGTTTTGACAGAAATTGCGTGCTACGGGATCAATACTATTGTATCCAGTGAGATAATGCTCAGTAAGTAAGGCACGTTTCATAAGTCTGGTGCTGTGTAGAAATGCTACATGGTGAAAAACTGTTAAAGTCTACACATGCGGAACTAACGGAAGCCTGCGAATGCAATAGTGGCTCATCGCCAAACAATGTAGGGACAATAGAACACACCTAGCTGGTAGCACGTAATGTTTATTCTGGCAAGAACGTGTACACAGCATTCATCAAGTAGCTGAAGCTAATCAACTACTGAGTGAGTAATCGACAGGCAAACAGGCGTACATGTAGGGACAGTCAATGCTGGTTGTGAAAAGCTGATTGACGATGGTGATTCCTACACCACATTCCTCCTCACTACAGTTGGCACTCCTCCAGAAAGCCTGGTAACGATAAACTTGATGGGGTACTCTAACTGAACGGCGTGTTGATTGGGCCTATGGCTGGCTTGTGTCCCGTGTACCCTCCGTGACCGCCGGATCGGTTGACGGGCTTGCCACTCAATCGTCTGACCAGATTGAAACAGGACGACGGAAGACGCGACCGATATGACCAGTAACCACTCTGTTATCCGATAATGCCACCTCTACTCTCTAACCTTTAATTTCGCTTAACTCTGCAGGATGCCAAGTTGGTTCGTGGGGTAGTTTGACATAAAATCGCTCGTCCTCACGGATTTATCGATGTGATACCATTCGATCGTATCTCTCGTTATGTTCCTCCTGCCGAACTTCGAGGTATAGTCTCTGATCAGGAAAGCACACACACATGCTATACACGTTAGCTAGAGGTGGGAAACACGTCAGCTACTGTGCCGCAATACCTAAAAGAAAAAAGGGAATAAAATGCAACAGGTGCAAACCAGCTGAGCTACCAGTAACGGATGGGCATCGTTCCGGTAAGCTACCAGCCGGCTACTAAGCAGCAAAAAAAAGTTCCTACGCAAAATTATAAAATGTTAAATAATGAGATCGTAGTTGGGGGGAAGGCTAAGCAGGAGGGGATGGACAAAGGAACTCACAACACGAACGCCATTGGGGCCGGCTCCTAGCCATATCAGCAAGTGTGTCCAAGCAAACGTGTTCACCGTCCTTAGGACCCCAGCCAGGCAGTCGGGATGCACCAACCGACGCCAAGTTCGAAGTAAGGGTTTTCATTTCTCTCGACCAAGTCATCGCTTGGCCTCCCCTCCTCCTCTTCCAACCGCATCCCCGACGCGCAAACAATGCATGTCGCGGGAATTGGTGTGCTGGCATGCGAAACACCTGCCTTAGCCATCGGAGCCTAGTGCTTGATCTAATGGTGCCGGGCGGTTCACTCGCTCTTCCTGCACTAAATATGCGACGACGAACACGCTCATTGCACATGCGGTGCTCCCACCAGACATGAGCTAAGCTTCGAAGGCAACGATGATCGAATATGACGAGCCTCTTTATGTCTGTCGACCTGATAGGCCAGGTTTCACAACCATATAGGAGCTGAACGGACGGTTGCGTTATAAACTCTGCCCTTCAGGGCGAGGATAATGTCGCGTCTGCGCCACAGGTGGCGGAGATTGGCAAAAGCACCTCAAGCTTTTGCTATACGTTTCGTAACCTCGTGTTTAATCCCAGGGGCGCTAATATAGCTGCCCAGGTACTTAAATTTCTGAACGACTTCTAGCTTATCACCACAAAGTGTTAGCACAGAGGTGGGTCCCTGGCAATCTTGGAGAAGTAGTTTGCATTTCGATGGAGCAAAGTATCACCGAAAACCATTGACAGCCAGTGCTAATCGGTCCAGTGCTGCTTGACATGCAACTGCATAAGCTGCGGGCTAGTTGGCAAGAGCCACTAGCAGTCATGGGTTCGATCCTCCGCAGAGGACCGAAGGATGCGCACCACTGATGAGCCCCAATAGGGCGAAACTAAGGAAACTGTTAAAAAACACAAAGCATTCGTTCATTCGCCTCTGGCCAAGAAGTTGCGCCCAGTCGATGTATGAAGAAACGCGGAGGAGTAGCAAGTCAGTGTTTTCATCCCCAATCCACGTTGGTAGGTGCAAAAATGAGCACAGAAAATATGCACATTTTACCGGAGACAACATTCGCATCAACCTAGTTTGATAGAAAACACTAATAGAATTGAAGCAGTTTGTAACAGAGTCCGTGTTAAATAAGGAAAACTTGGCAGCGCACATCAAAGAACTGAGTGATCTGTTGAACTGTGTAGAGGCCCTGTACTTTAATGACACAATAAGTTGCACTTACTCAGGTGGACATCATTTACATGGACGCGGAGGCCATTAATGTTGGCAAAGGACTTCTCACAGTACTCGCACTTGTGAGGCCGCATTTCTGCAACAGAAAACAAATTCTCCACAGTTATGCGCAACAAAGAAAAAGAAATGCCAGAACAAAAATGTTAATGGGTTGCCGTTGGCACAACCAGCTTGGCATTTTGCAATTGATCAATTAATTGACAAAATTAAGACTAACATTCCCATCGTATTTGTCTTCCTTAATTTCACCCGAAAGCACGAAAAATGATTCGGTGTGACGCCTTCAACCAGCTTGTCGAACCCTGAAACAATGGCTGTAAACTAGTTAATCAGCACGACTGGATTCACTGCGGCAAGTCCAGTACACAGCTCGTCGTTAAGGAATCTGCGAATGCATAGTAGTGTGGTGAAGACAACAGACAACCGTCGATAGTAGGCATAGACGCCTCTGGAGCCATTACAGGAACTGGAGAAAAGTATCCCTCGGTGTGAATCCAATCGAGCAAAACTTGGTCAAAGAAATAGCAGGTCGACGAATAGCATTTACCAAGAGCAAAGAAATGCTAGTGAGCAGGTAGATGCCGGCAAATGCAATAGAGATCCCTTAAAGACGGTAAATCAAGCCGGTTCCAATGCATACCATACCTGCTCCAGTCGTAATGCGTCGTGTTCAGAGATTCAGGAGTGGCGATTAGATTTCGTTCCAAAGGACATGACTGTGCAGATAAGAAAACAAACATCGCCATTCAATTGCTGCCACATAGGTTACAGCGCGATGTGGAACACCTTCATATGCGTCGTGTGCCACCAGCATTTCTACCAGAAGCATGGGCACTGTCATCACGCAGACGACATTCAGAGATCAGCAAAACAGAAGGAACACACAAATCGCAATCTATGTCTTCATGTATGATCATTAGTTCAGCTCAGTGTGGTTGATCTACCGTCACCAAAATCTTATCAACGTAACTGATAGAAATTAGTGAGGTTTTGAGTGAAATGGATAAGAATACAAATAATTATATGGAGTGGTTAAACAAGTTATAAGGATGGAATACACCAGCGTCATTGCTTTGGTGACTGTTGCGTATCTGGCACAGCAATCTGCCACTGGGGTATCCGATCCCGCTGGACACATCATCAACTCTCACCATTTCTTTCCACCATTGTGCTGTTTGGCAACGGGGCACATTATTGGTAAACAAAACACACCAGGGGCACCTCATTGCAGTGCCTACACTCTCGGCTTTCGCCATCGGGGCTAGCGTTGGTGAAGTGATACTCCAAGCATCGGTGGTCGTACATGGGTTCTGAATGTGAAACATTGGGTCCCTTTCAGCCACTTCATCAAATCAGAAAGAATACACAGATTGCAATTTATATCTTCATTCTGCTTTGATGATCTCTGAATGTCGTCTGCGCGATGACAGTGTCTGTGCTTTTGGTAGAAAGGCTGGTGGCACACAACGCATATAGAGGCGTTCTACATCGCGCTGCAACCTACGTAGCAGCGATTGAATGGCAGTTAGCCCATACGTGAAAATGGTTGTTTTCTTATCTGCCCACTAGAATTCTATGGAATGACATCTAATCGCCACGCCTGGATTTCTGAACACGGCGCATCACAACGGGTCAGTCAGCCTTCGTCGATAACTATTAAAAGAAAGCGGCATAGATGAAGTACGTGATGAGATATATATGCAGCGCGCATTTAGAAATTAACCAGGATTCGGAAGTCGCGGCACAACTAGCAGCAGCGGCAGCAAAGAAAAAGAACCTATCGCTCCTAGTGGCAATATGATGAACAGTCGAAACCAACTGGAGAAAGCGGTGCCGGTTCGTAATCCATGAGAACACATACTTCAACTGCGTTCTGACGTTACAGATATCAGTGAATTGGGCTCATGTGGCTCGCAACACTGTGAGTTACGATACTGATGGCTGGTGACATACAGAAAGATAACAGAGGAAAACAGAAGTTTCTCCTCTAGAAAGAAACTAACATAGGTTTTTCTCTACAACTTACGAATACTTTGAAAAGCAGATCAAATTTTGTAAAATGTATAAGTGTTCACTATGATGGCCAATGGCCCTATATGTGTTAAAAACATAAACTGATGCAAACACAATCACAACACAACACTTTGATCACGCACGACCTAGGTAAAATGCTAGATGCATGACAGATATTAACCAGGAAAGAATTTGCGTTCATGCCTCTGGAGCCGACAGTTTCTCTGACAATCATGGTTGATGATCGAACAAAAGTCAAGCATCATCTGTTCGTCCCATCACTTCGGATAACACTTGTCCACTGCCATCAGATTGCTTAGTGCCACAAAATCTACTGGGAATCGATCAAGACGAGGGTTCAAGAAGTGCTTCGCATGATGCACGCAAGATCATGAAATGCTAACACTGTTAACCGGTAAATAAAAATTATCCGTTTTTTGTCCCTAAGAACGTTTCGCATCACTGTGAGAACTAAGTGTAACGCACTCCTCTAGCATTGATATTTGAGACAAATTTTTCATCATGCACAAGAACTTGAATTTAGAAGGACGTAAAAAGTAAAGAGACAAACACGGAAAGCTAAAACCATATGCAGTATTCAAATCGCTCACAAACTGTCTCATAAAGCCCAGATTCAAATGCAGTGGGGGAAATATGATTTCATCTCTGATGACAATGCGATCGGCTGGTTTGTCGAATTATCTCCTCGTGGTGCCAGCTGGGTGGATCAAGAATACACCGTTTCAGCGAAGTATTCAGCGACAATGTTCCACTACGGTGGGGCATTGTAGTCCAGCAATTGTGCTGATTTCATGCGAAGTATCGGGCCCCAGTTTGGTGGTCTACTAAACGAAAGGCGCATGAACTGAAAATTCAGTCAGCGCCTCCCAATAAGCGCGATTCACTGAATTCGCGGTGCTGCCTTGAGAGTGATTTAGCCAAACACTCGGGGTTGGGTCATCTAAGTCAACTCATTAATTCAGCTTGGGCAACCGGGTAATACCACACCCTCTCACAAAACTATGGACCGTACTACAACGTACTCATCAGCTACTGTTACTGCTTCCCGCTTTCACGCGACTTCATCACACGCAAAGTGCTTTTTTCCTAACAATCCTCACTTTTCGTTATCCCATTCATGCGTTCAATAATCGGACTGTGATTCCGGTTGCGCCGCAGAGCAAGGAGTTCAGCCTATGGCTCTCCTTCGTCCCCGATCCCCGTTCCGTCTGACGTCCGGACACTCATGCAGAATGGACAGCAAGCCGGTCTATCGCGCACACTAGATTCCCTAGAAATTGATGTCTGCTGCCTTTCAAAAATCCGGTTACAAGATCCCAGCACTGTGTTTACATTGACATCCCCAACTGACCACGAAGACAGATATCACCTGCCTCTTTCTGAAGATCCAGAAGCAGCCTCAGCGGGTTTGGCTGGTGTAAGTATGGCATTAAGTGGCAAGGCGGCGAAGGCAGTACTGGACTGGTTCCCGATTAACAACCGACTATGTGCAGTACGGCTTCGGGGTTCATGCAGAAAAAAAACAAGGGACGCGGAGAGACGCAACTTGTTTGTGATCTCCGAGTGCGCTCCAATCGTCTGTAGTGGCGGCTCGATCAAGGACGAATTCTACGGTGATGTACATTGGCCGTTGGCTAATGCTAAAAGTCGGATGTCGTTGTCCTTGCCGGGGATTTTAATGCACAGGTTGGCCGCTTGTTACCATACGAACGCCACCTTGGTGGTCACCACGTGCTCGATGAGAATCGCTCTGATAAAGTGAGAAGCTTCTCACATTGTACGAAGACAATCATCAGTTTATCTCGAGCACTAACTTCAGGCATACGAAGAATCGTTCCGCAACGCGGCGTTCCTCTTTACCAACACAACTGTGGTCTCAAATTGATCACATTGCAATCAGCTTCAGATGGCGTGGCAGCGTACTAGACTGCAGGTCATTTGGATCCATCTTCGTTGACTCCGATCATGCTCTCGTCTGCGTAAAAACTTATATGGGTTTTGGGAGGGTCCCGAAACATGAAGCACCGTGAAATAGATGTAAACAGATTAACTGATACCTCTGTTCAGGCGAGCTATCAGTCTTCATTGGCATATGTACTCAAGTGCAATCCACCAAAAGAAGTGGAGCAACACTGGACGCGTATACAGAAAAGGATGCTCATTTCCGGACAGTCGAGCTGCGGCCTACATAGACGCCCCTTAAAGCTTGGACCTCTGATCATACTCTAAGGCTGTTCGAACGACGCAAAGATATTCCCGCGGAATCAGATTGCAACGAGCGGCGCCGTTCTGTCAGCCGGATGCTCAAGCAAAGTTTACGCAAGGACCGCGAGGCATGGTGGTCTGAGCGAGCTTTAGAGATGGAGACCGCTACCCACACTGGTAACACTCGCAGGCTTTTCCAACTCATTCGGTCCACTGGCCTCAGAAAACTTGGTGTCAGTGAGGTCATTTGCGAGAAAGATGTCTCCGATCACCAACCAACAGAGACGTATGGACCACTGGGCCGATGATTTTCACTCGCAGTTCAACTGGCCTCCACCATCCATCAGTACATGCAGTACACCTTGTTGTCTACTCTGGCTCGTCCAACTGAATCCACCCAGCGAAACGGAAATCCGTCTCGAGATTCGAAACTTGAAGCGGAAGTCTGTCTCGAGATTCGTCGCTTGAAGCGGTTCAAAGCTATCGGCTTAGACGGACTTCCGCCAGAGCTGTTCAGATAGGACGATGTGGCGATCATTAACCAGCTGACCCTGCTATTCACAAAAATATGGCATGAAGACAAAATGACTTCCTCTTGAGGTGAATCAAATATTGTCCCGATTTTCACGAAAGGTGTTCGCACTTCATGTGCAAATCATCGCGAAATTAGTCTCACTTCGGTCGCCTCCAAACTATTGGCATCCATTCTGCTTCGAATAGTACTCCCAATACGTGAATCACACTACCCTGAAGATCAAGCTGGTTTCTGTCCCGGCCGCGGATGCGTGGATTAAATCTTCACGCTCTGCCAGCTCCTCGAACATCGCCACACTTATC